ACGAGCCCCTGCTGTCACTTGTATTCTGTAAGAGAATGCGCCAAAGCAGCCCTACTGCTTCTGGTGGCAGAATGGAAGGATAGTCCGTACATAGAGCGGCAATGAGGGTCAGAGTGGTGTCACAAGTGGAGACAGTGGGGTCACAAGAGTGGAAAAGGGTCACTAGAGGCGCAGAGATTGCTGGCGACACGCGGATCACAGAGATGTAGGGATTGCTAAAGACATTGGGGGCACAGGATTGTAAAGAGGTCACTGGAGGCACAGGAGTAAACAATTGGAGACAATGGGGTCACAGGAGTGTAAAGGGGTCACTGGAGGCACAGGAGTACACAATTGGAGACAATGGGGTCACAGGAGTGTAAAGGGGTCACTGGAAGCACAGGAGTACACAATTGGAGACAATGGGGTCACAGGAGTGTAAAGGGGTCACTGGAGGCACAGGAGTACACAATTGGAGACAATGGGGTCACAGGAGTGTAAAGGGGTCACAGGAGTAATTGCAAAACAATACCGGCGCCTTCAAATCCAAAAAGAGCCCAGCAGTAAAAATACAGCAAACACGATGGAGGCAGCTCCCACAGATTAGATGGACCACCAGTCTATGAGAAAAGGAACAAAAGAGAGCGCCTCCATAGTGTAAAAACGTTATTGAATAGTAAAAACACGCAGCTCTAAGGCTGTACTTACAACAGCTTCCAATCCATTGGTGCTGATGAAGGGGGGCGTGCCCCAGAAACGCGTAAACCATTTATCAATACAGGGATCGAGGTTACTGGTGTTTTACATCGGTCCAGATTCTCCCTGCCAGGGGTTCCGTCCTCTCACCTAATTCTACTAGTTTATTATTCTACCGAACTGTTGTAAGTACAGCCTTAGAGCTGCGTGTTTTTACTATTAAATAATGTTTTTACACTATGGAGGCGCTCTCTTTTGTTCCTTGGGTCACAGGAGTGTAAAGGGGTCACAGGAGGCACGGAGGTGTAACATATTACCAAATACATACAAAGTGATTCCCGTCCTCCTTTCTTTCTATGGCTGGCCCTACATTCTGCAAACCTTGCCCGGTTCTTCAGGAACTGGCTGAGATTGGCACAGTGGGTGCCGCTGTCCGCACCCTTCTCGCAGACATCTCTTGATCAGCTGATTAAAGGAGCCGGCTGGAAAATCTCCAAACGAAAAGAGCCGGCAGCATGCTACAACATGCAAACAACAGAACGTAAAATTCAGGCAACTCGTCATCTCGATGTAAACTGGTAAATTTCTGATCCAAACTTCTCTCCTTTTAAAATATTAGATGATTGGATCCATCAGAACTGGGGACACAAAGTAGGGGGGCACGCACTGCCAGCTGCATATGGATACCTGGATCTGCATGTGCGTCTTTGGGAAATATGTGGTAATGGTTGTACTGGAAGGTTCAGTGTAAGTTGTAATAGTTCTCTTCCTGTTCAATCTGCAACTGGGGGGGGGATGAATATGGGACTCAGGAGCCAGTCTGTCCAATCAAGGGGCCAGCATATCTTTTTTTTGGAACCAGCTCCATTGACAACTAAAGAAAACCTCAAAAGTTAGGCACCAGCTGTAACTTTAAGGGTACATTGGCGACCTGGCTCCTGGGATTTGTCCGGCCCGGTCACACACTAACAGATTTTTTTCTCAGCTTAAGGGCTCGTTCACACCAGCGCCAGTGCGTTCCGGCACGATTCGGTGCTGGAACACACTGGATCGCATCCCAGCCGGCTCACTGCGTTCTGGGGCAGGAGGGGGGGGGGGGGGGGGTGTGAAGGTGCATTGAAGTCAATGGCACCGCTGCCATGCCACCCGGACGCAGTGCAGTCGCCCGCACCGGAACACATCAATGCCTGCGTTCCAGTCAGAATATTGCATGCGTCAGTTTTGCTGACCTCACCAGACTGGAACACAGGCATTGATGTGGCACGCGTTGCGGGCGATCATACTGCAGCAGGGGGGAGGCGTGACTTCAATGCCCCCTCCCGCCCCAGAAAGCAGTGAGCGGGCCAGGATGCGATCCAGTGCGTTCCGGCACCAAATCGTGCCAGAACGCACTGGGGCTGGTGTGAACTAGCCCTGAAATTAAATCTAACCGGCGCCTCTATCCACACTACACAGCATGGGTGGACAAATCTCCTGCTGTGGCTTTTGTATTATGACAGCTGTCACCCGCCGCTGTCAGAATACATGAAAATTTCATCCCGTCTCCTTCAACAAAAGCCGATTCATTAACCGGGTTTTGCAAAGCCATCAGGGCCACCCAATGGAAGAAACTCACAGGTTCTAACAGTGTATGGCCAGCTCTAGAGTCGCTGTGAAACGTCTGTGAAGGATCCGATTCCTCCAGGTCACATGGTATATCTGTAAAAAAAAACAATTCAAGGCAACTGGACTCGCTGTATTTTTCTTGAAGGCGCTTCGCTGGTCATCCTTCTAGCTTTGCCAATTCAATGAATAAAACTTATGGCAGTATTAGAACACATAATATGAGACAATTATTTACACAAGTATGTATAATCAGTGGCGCAACAATCGCCATAGCGACCCAGGCGGCCGCTATGGGGCCCAGGCCAGGATATCCCCCTGAGGCTGTGCGGGGTCGCCTGGGTCGTTACGGCATCTCAGGCTGCTGGCTGTCACTGGCGGCTGTGAGGAGGAACGTGTCGCTGTCCTGATCACCGACAACCTGTCAGTGATCTGTGCAGCGGTGCGTTCCTCCTCACAGCTGCTGCCGAGTCAGTGACAGCCAGCGGCTGTGGAGGAGGATGCTGGGCCCGGCGTCGGCAACGGAAGAGGAGGGGCCGGCGATGGACGAGGAGGTGGGGCCCGCCAGCGACCATGCAGGAGGAGGAGGCGGACAGCGGATCGGGGCTGACAGGTAAGAGGTGTGACCAGCTCACTTGAGACCCTGCAGAGCCCACCATAGTATTATGGTGGGCTCTGCAGGGCCACTCTCAGGTGGGCTGTTTGGGATCTCAGGTGGGCTCTGCAAGGATCGTAACTAGAAATCACAGGGCCCCATATAAAATTTTGCTATGGGGCCCTGTGATTTCTAGTTACGCCCCTGTGCACAATGTTAATCACTTTGGTAGAGGTAATCCTAATATACAAAGCTCCACTGCCATTGAACTAGATGAATGATGCCAATGCATGGAAAGGGGGAGCGAGAGCTGAGCTTCAGCAGCGACAAAACAAAAAAGAACCCATCTATTGTGTAACAATTTCAGAAATATGTATTGGCGAAAATCATCATAGATTGTACTCCTCCCCCCCTCCCCACCACCAAATAAAATGATGCCTCAGGCAGGGTAATGGATCGGTATCTGTCCTGTGTGAAGCAAGGATCCTGCCCCGACTGTGGAAAGCGAGCAGCAAGTAGCCTTTTGGACGATGGATTACCGCACCAGTGGCCGGTGTTCTATCAAAGCTTGCGACTACGTTGGAATGTGTGACCGGTGACGTGGTCACACATTTTAACGTAATCACGCCCAGTTTTACAGCGGTGGAATATGTGACCGCTCATTAGGTCAAGCATTCCAACGCTTTGCCAGCCTCAAATGTCACTTCTCTGTGAGTGAGTGAGATCGCACATTCCACCGCATTTGCAAAGTCGGATAGAAGTGACATTTGATGACTGATCAGCCCATCCAGGCAGATGCTGGTAATGCAGACCGATTCTCCTGCACATGCGCAGTGAGCTGATCTGCCCTGGAACAGTTGGGCAAAGCGTTGGAATGCTTGACCCAATGGGTGGTCACACATTCCACCGCTGTAAAACTAGGCGGGATTATGGTGAAATGTGTGACCAGGTCACCAGTCACTCATTCAAACGTAGTCACAGACTTTAATAGTACACTGGTGTTCTATCAAAGATTGTGACTGGGTTGGAATGTGTGACCGGTCACACATTTTTACTGAATCACGCCCACTTTTTCGGCAGGTGGAATATGTGACCGGCAAAAGGTGAATTCCAACACTTTCTCAGCTGTTTCAGAGCAGATCGGCAGCGCAGATGGTATGCGCATGAGAACCGATCTGTCTTGGAGCAGCTGATCGGTCCTTAAATGTTACTTCTGTCCAACTTTGTGGAATGTGAGATTGCAGTCAAAGAGTCGGATAGAAGTGACATTTCAGGACCGATCAGCTGTTCCAGGGCAGATCAGTTCTCCTGCACATACCATTTGTGTTGCCGATATGCCCTGGAACAGCTGAGAAAGCGTTGGAATTCTTCACCTTTTGCCGGTCACATATTCCACCACCGAAAAAGTGGGCGTGATTAAGTTAAAATGTGTGACCACGTGACCGGTCACACATTCCAACCCAGTCACAATCTTTGATAGATAGCGATCAGCTGTTCCAGGCAGATGAGGGTAATGCAGACCTGATTCTCCTGCACATGCGCAGTGAGCCGATCTGCCCTGGAACAGCTGACAAAGCGTCGGAATGCTTGACCCAATGGGCGGTCACACATTCCACCGCTGTAAAACTGGGCAGGGATTACATTAAAATGTGTGACCACGTCACCGGTCACACATTCCAACGCAGTCACAAACTTTGATAGAACACCGGCCACACAGGTTCAGCTCCCGCAGGATACATCACAGGAACACATTTCGGGGATAATGCGTCTCCTCCTTGAAACGTAAACCATGTGGGGGCGTGGAACCTGTGTGGCCTGCGTTCTGTCTTATTCCATCGGAATGATTGCGTCTTGTTTCCGGTGCTCATGGCACAACCGCAATTACCGCATTAAAAAAAACCACAGCACAGAAAATGCATTCTTTAACTACACCATTTTACTTGACCCCCATCCTCCTGCAACACAGAGGCAGCTGCAAATAATGGGGGGGGGGAGGTTGTTAATCGAATGTTCCTCTACGAGTGCCCGGCGAAGCAACCTCTAGGAAAATGTCAGGGCAATATAAATAATATAAAAAAAATAATATAGATCTATAAAAAAATAAGTTTGCGACGCAGAAGTTCCTGTACTATAGATCGAAGTAGTACGGAGAGTCCCGCTGGCTTTGGGGAGACCGGTTCGTGGAAGAGGAGGAGGAGGACGGGGATGAAAATGGCTGGGGGACCGGTAACGCCTCCTGCTCCCGAGAGTAATTAAAGGACGACGTCTGTGACGGAGCGATGGGGGAAGGTTCGTAGGCAGGATGCGAGGGCCGGGGCGATGTCCGGGCATGGCAGGAGTTTTTACGGGAAGGCGTGGGCGAGTTCTGTTCGCAAGACCGCGCCCGCGGGGGAACGTATGTGGAGTTGCCGCTTTGGCAATTCGGAGTCTGTGGTTCTTTTTGCACCGGCCCCATGAACTTTTTCACCACGTGCATCAAGCTCAGCTGCATGTCGATCTTCCGGTCCTCGGGCACTTTTTTGACGAACGGCAGCAAGCTTTTTAGGAAGATCTCGTCCGCGTCGGACTGCTCCTCGGTCTTCTTCCGAAGCGTGCTCATGACGCTGAGCAGTTGCCTTTCCCACTCGTTTTCGTTCTTGTTGGCGGCTTTCTTGTTCTTTTTCGACGTCGACAGGGGCGAGGCGCGGACCAAGGTCTGAGCTGGCGGCAGCCGGAGCGGCAACGGCAGCGGCGGCTGTACCGGGGGGCTTATCGCTACTTGATCGACGTCGATTGGCTGCTGGATGGCAAGTGGGTCGTTGGGCACGTTGGGAGTAGCCGGTGTCGTGGTAAAGGTGCTGAAAACCAAACAATTTATTAAATGAGATTTACATACATAGTGACATAGTATTTGAGGTTGAATAAAGACACAGGTCCATCAAGTCCAACCTTTGTGTGTCTGTGTGTGATTGTGCATGTGTATGCGTATAAAATCAATTAGGGATGCACAGATATATCGGTCGCCGAAACATATCGGCCGAAAATGGCAGTTTTGGCATAATGACGAAAGTGCCATTTTCCTGCCGATACATCGGCGCATCCCTGATTTCTTTCCTCCCCGCTGGGCGCTGCTCTGTGTCACAGCGGGGAGGAGAGAAACTGTGACAGGTTTCCGAGCGCTGCGGGAGGAGAGCGCTGTGAGCAGCCGGCGTCTACTCCCACACCGCTCAGCCTCCTATCACAGTCCGGGAGATCGGTGTGTGGGCGGAGAAAGGCTGCGCGCTGCCACAGGAGGCTGCGCTGTCACAGGAGGCTGAGCTTTCCTCCCACACCGCTCGCTCAGCCTCCTGTGACAGCGTGTCAGAAAAAAGAGCCAATGCAAACACTCAGCGATCAGTGATCGCTAAGTGTTTGTACATAATTGAGGACAGAGTATATGGTTACTATATCCTCAATTATGAATGAATGGGAAGTGATCCACATCACTTCCTGTTCATTCGTGATTGTGGTTATAGTAAACATACTCTGTCCTCATGTTATGAATGAACAGGAACATTCAGTATAGAGGATTCATGTTCATTGATCACAAGAGCTACAGAAAAAGAGATTGAGGACTCTGTGTCCTAAATCTCTTTTTCTATTTTAAAAGGGAAATATATCAGGGATCTGTTTAGACCCCCAATATTTCCCCGAAGCCCCTAAAAGTAATGTAAAAAATAAAAATATTTAGTAAAAAATAAAATTAAAATAAAAAAATTAAAGTTTATAAAAAATTAAATATTTAAAAAAAACATTTTCAGTATCGGTTTTGGCCTGAAAATGTTTTTTTATTTTGGTTTAAAAATGTTCATTTCGGTGCACCTCTAAAATCAATCAATCTAGAACTGTGTATGAATCACTCACTCTCTGAGCTTCATGGTGGGTTCCAGAAACAGAAGGCCGTCATAATGGATATACTTCCTCCTCCGATTGGTCGGTATTCCACTCCTTTCTAGTTTTTTCTGCAATGTGAGCTCCCTCCTGAAGCAATCTTTGAGTGACCTCCATCGGGTCTGAACTTCTTTGGCTGTGGAGAGAATTCATTTTAGAAGATTAGATTATAGACCTTTCCATAAAATGAAAAAAGGTGTCAAAGTGAACCTGTGCATTGCAAAACGCCCAGCACCTGCCCTTCATATAGATTATACCTTCACCCCCTAATGCCGTATTCAGTATTGTGGAGCAAAGAGAAGTATCCAATGTTTCTGCATATGGGTAAACATGCCACTCCTCCTACGTGCTTCTTTTGGGTACTCCATCAAAATTACAACAAAGACACCTTCAGAAATCCTTAGTAATAGCAATCTACAAACACATACAGGCAGTCCCCGGGTTACAGACAAGATCGGTTCTGTAGGCTTGTTCTTAAGTTGAATTTGTATGCATATTGGAACAGGTACATTTTTTAAGTGTAACTCCAGGCAAAACAATTTTTGTTTAGTTTTGGATAGCATAGGGAAGGGTTTACCCCCCTGTAAAGTTTGTTTTGCTGTGTGACCCTGTTCAGAAGATTTCACCTCACTGTCTGTCCCTGTGACAATTGGATTTTGGGTTGTCGTGGAAATAAGGATTGGTGATAAAGCTTCAGTGGAGACACAAGTGAATTTCCCTTCCTAGGGGTAGGTTTCCTCTCACTTCCTGTTGTCTCAAGGACAGGAAGTGAGAATAAATCTTTCTAATGAGGATACAGACAGCAGTAAAACCTCACAGTGACCCGGAAGAAGAGGCGGGCACCCCCTCGTCTCCACGTCTAACAGGAGCCAACTTCCTGTAATGTGCGTACAGTACTACGAACCAGACACAAAAAGGCGGGAACTCCTCGTCAGCACGAGTGTGGAAGCATTACAACTACCCCTGCTGTACAGTAATAGCCTCCGCTTGTAAGTAGGAGTCGGATGTGTAATTGGGATGTATGCAACTCGGGGACTGCCTGTGCTTCTAGATAATTGCCGACTTCGTATTCTTTGCATACCTCGTTTCTCTTTTCTTCCCCAGTCTTCTCACTGTGGCCATGTTAACTAAAAGGCAGGTTACTAGCTCTCCCTCTACTTCCTGGAACTCTGGCACATGTGACTAGGACATGTGACCAGTTCAATATTCAAAGAGCAAAGAGCGACTATGGATGCCTCCGTGAATAAAAAATGTAGAAAAGGTCACTCGCACTCCAGATTAATTTTCAATCAATGTTTATTGGCCTCTCATCGGGTCACAATGTCAAGCTTGACGATGTGGCACGATGAGAGGTCAATAAACATTGACTGAAAATTAACCTGGAGTGCGAGTGACCTTTTCTACATTCACAGGACATGTGACCACGCACATCATCTCAGGGGAGGAAAATGCCTTTCCCCCGAGATTACAGATGAGATGTCCCAGCAATGCTCTGCTGATGTCACCTTCCCAGAATGCAATATTGGGCACATTACATCATTTGTGCCAGAAGAGGATCAGGAGGTAGATGAACTCTATTTGTAAGTAAATGAAACATGTTTGTTTAACTAATGAACGCAAGATGATTTTAAATCAGTACGCAGAGCTGCATGCTAATGTGACTTTTAGTGAAAGGGGGTGAACGTCCGCTTTAAAGCCGATCTCAGGTCAGCCATTAAATATAAGTACAGGCTAAATGCTCATTTAGTCTGGTGATGGGGGTGTAAAGTAGAGAGATAGCCTATTTCTTGCTCTGACAGCCAGCATTCTCTGCTCCTAGAAGGTGCGCATGCCCTTGTTGTCGTCAGGTAAATGAAAAAAGTACCATAAATGTAAAAAAAAAAAAAAAAAAGTTTCCCTACGTTATGATATAAAACATTTATTCTTATTTTTTAGTCGGGTAAATAGACACCAAACATGTCAAGCCTTAAAATTGCATGCGCCCGCAAAATCGCAAAAAACGCCCATAGGCAACGATTAAAACGCTTTTACTGCTCATCAGTTTAGTGTTATCAGTGATTAATGGCTCTAAAATTATTGCTCTCACTCCGATGTTTACGGCGATATGCAACATGTGCGGCACAATCGTCGTTTTCGCACGTAGGCGCACCCGACTCATATCTGCGTGTGTATGTGGTGGGCGGGGACTTAAAAAATGTTTTTTTCTTTAATGCTTTTTTTTATGATTCTTTAATTTTAGTATTATTTTTTTTTTTTTTTACACACAGCTTTATTGCCATTACATGGGGGGCTAAGAAGCCCCCTATGTAATAGCCAATTTACATGACAGGTCCTCTTTATGGAGACATCAGGGGTCTCCAAGACCCCTAATGTCACCTAGGAACCCCCAGAGAAGCTGATGAAGCAGAGATCGGCTTCATCAGCTTCTGTACCTGTAAAGTGACACTGAATGCAGGAAGTGATGTAATCTACCTCACTTCCTGCATTTGGGGACTGAGAGGAGATCGTATACTGAACTCCCTTTGATCTCCTGTCATAGAGCCGTGCCGGTCCCGGCCGCATTGGGCCTCGGGACCGGCAGTGACAGCTGCTAATACAAACGATTGAGCGTCTCTAGAGACGCCCGATCACTTGAATGTAAAGCTCCCGGCCGACCGTGTAATTACAACGGGCGGCCGGGAAGCTGCTCGTCGGGCTCCACCGTCCTCTCGTCACAGACGAGCGGATTTTTCAAGGCCTGTCTATGATGATATGTGTGAAACAAAGGAGGATAAATCTCTGTAGAATGGAGGCAGTGGAGAATTGCTGGCAGAGGGATGGATGATGGTGCTGGCAGCTGGGAGAATCCTGCATGGTCGTATGACTATGGTCCACCAGATGTAATGGTGGTGTTCAGGCTCAGCTGGCCAGGCTGAGTCCTGTCAGCTGTGCGGGGAACTGTCAGTGCCGCCTCTAAGCCACGCTGTCACTACACGAGGAATAGTAAAGGTCCGGGGAGGAGAGAGACCGCACCCTGACAGGGTTGGCAAAGTGGTCCTTCTCGTGGGGTATAGGCTACGCGTTTCGAGGCTTTGCCTCTTTTGTCAAGCCAGAAGGAAAAAGAACGATCACAGAGTTACATTGTATTATTCATTAATCACTTTTGGGTAGTAGCGCTCCTTTCCTTGTTTTCGCTTTTGACCAGAGAATAGGAATGGCTTATTACTCAGCAGGTAGAAAGCGAGGAATAAGGCAAATGGTGAGCCACAACAAGCATACGTGGGAAAGAAAACGTCGTATTTTAGATTTCTTGGAAATTAAATGTCCCTTTAATATATTTTTCCACCTTTGATATTTTTCTCCTTTTCACTGCACAGCTCCCAGTCTGGAACCACAATGGCGCAGATTTCATCCCAAGCTTTCTTCTTCTTGTACCGATCGGCATAGGAAGGTGTTTTGGGGTTGTACAATTCAGGGCGTTCCTGCACCAATTGAATCAGCTGGGCAATGTCGATGAACATTTTGGAAGACATTCTGTGGATTCTCGCATCCTTCTCCCTTACTGCTTCACCTTGACCCAGAAAAAAAAAAAAAAAAAGAAGAGCATTAGAAAAATCAATATTCAAATTGCATTTACAATACCGCTCAGAAATAATATTAAAGAGAACCTGTCACCTTGCTCATTGAAGCCCACCCACCCTATACTCGCCACTGCTGCTCCTCCTGTAGCTGCCTCTAAAAAATACACAGTGCCCTTAGTGTCCAACCGCTAAGCCAGAACAATGTCGCATAATGGAGGAGCTGATGTCAACTGGTGTCAAACCAAAGACAGAGGGTATATTGATGGTGAGTATAAAGTAGTCAAGGGGAGCACTTTGAAGAGGCACTGTCAATTTGTCCTACAGACTTAAAGGAGAACTATGAGGTGAGGGATTAACACTCATCCTCATAGTTAGAGCTGCCGCGTGACAAGGAAACTGTCACAAGTCTACTCTATAGATCGGCAAGTGAGCGAACACATACCACCGCTCGCTCACTTCCCGATCATCTCCCTGCAGAGAGCCATGACTGTCAGTCACCGCTGTCTGCAGGGATTCCCCCCCTCCTTCTCTGATCCTCCAGTGCTGAGTGGAGGAACGGACGGGGGAGGGGGCAGGCACTGCTCTGCCTCTAGATAGGCAGAGCCTGCTGTCAATAGGCCAGCTGGGTGGATCTCGACAGTATTGTCGGGTCCGGTCACAGCTGCGGCGCTCTCAGTATATAGCGGGCAGTAGCCCGCTATATACTGATCTTTGGGTCACGGGGGGATGTTAGTATATGTCCTCCCGTGACCCTAGAGAACTATGGGATAAAAAGGCTACCCCATAATTCTCTTTTAAGCCGGCCATACACTGCTCTATTTTTTTTGTTCAACCCACGGGCCGAAGGAAATAAAATAGAGCAGATTCCTCCATCAATGCTACAAGCACGTTGATCGGGCGAAACTTGCACAGTGTATGGCCAACTTTAATGCCTTATCCCTGTTGGAGAGTATAGAGCTTCACTATAAATCACATTCAGCCTCAATCATTAGTAGATTGTAGCGATTTAGTGATTAGTAACCAGACACTTCCTTTTTATTCTTTAGCGGTCCACACATTTAACATGCTTCTTTCCTGGACTATACGGGTTCATGCCCACAGCAGTAAATTACATGCGCCTACCTAGATATTGCTCTATACACATGTGGCTGTTACCTGCCAATGATTTCTACAGGGTGACTGTGGCAGATGAGGTTTAATGTCGATAAATGCAAAGTAATGCACTTTGGAATTAAAAATAAACAAATGGGTTATACAATTATGGGTATGCCGCTGGGGAAGTCAGAAATGAAGAAGGATTTGGGGGTCATTGTAGACCACAAACTGAAAGGTAGTTTGCAGTGCCAGGCTGCTGTAAACAAAGCTAGCAGGGTCTTGTCCTGTATTAAAAAGGGGATGTATTGCAGGGACAAGTCTATAATTTTGCCACTTTATAGATCATTGGTTCGACCTCATCTGGAGTACGCGGTCCAGTTCTGGTCACCAGTACTAAGAAAAGATGTCCTTGAGTTGGAAAAAGTCCAGCGAAGGGCAACCAAACTAATTAGGGGTATGGAGGACCAGAGCTACGAGACAAGGCTACTAAATTTAAACATGTTCACATTAGAGGTGAGGAGATTAAGGGGGGATATGATTTCCATGTACAAAATGTTTAATGGTGGTAGCAACATTAGCGATAAACTGTTTAAAATTAACTCCGTTACAAAAACTAGAGGCCATCACCTAAAATTGGTGGAAAAAAAATTCCAGCACAAGGGGCGAAGGGGGTTCTTCACAGTAAGATCAGTTAGGGTCTGGAACTCACTGCCACAGGCGGCGATCTCAGCAAATAATGTGGAATTGTTCAAGAAACTTTTGGACGATTTCTTAAGGGACCGTAATATACAGGGGTACAGGTAATATACAGGGGTACGGGTAATATACAGGGGTACAGGTAATATACAGGGGTACGGGTAATATACAGGGGTACAGGTAATATACAGGGGTACACGTAATATACAGGGGTACAGGTAATATACAGGGGTACAGGTAATATACAGGGGTACAGGTAATATACAGGGGTACAGGTAATATACAGGGGTACAGGTAATATACAGGGGTACAGGTACTCCTAGAATGAGATCCTAATAGGTTGGACTTGATGGACTAATGTCTTTATTCAACCTCAAATACTATGTAACTATGACTGATGGTGGCTGAACGCAGCACCTGTCACTCCCAGCAGAGAAAACACGGCCATATTGTACGCTGAGCAGTCATGAGCCCGAATACAACAATCCAAAGTTCAAATGAACACATACAGCAGCCTACCTGAACTGGTCTCGGGAGGAACTACCCCGTCCCCATGCTGCTGATAATCCATCCCGAATGACATGTCCTCCTCCTCCTCTTCTTTTATCTGTACAAGAAAATAATCTATAAAAACAGGAGAGAAATGTTATTTTTGTCCAAATGCCACAACGTAAACTAAAAACCATTACCAAATATAAATATAATATACCTTAATATGAATTAAAATGAAAGGTATGTTATTTATATCAGGTAATACTTTTAGTTTCCATTATGGCATCTCTATGAAATTGAGGACGACATTGGAACTTTTTGATGTATCATGGGATATATGAAAGGAGTCAAGGCCATAATCGAAACACGAATATAAATTAAAAGGAGCGTCACGATGCAGAGTCCATTAGGTTGTTACACGCGAGCCGATTGGCTGAAGATGCCGTCTTTCATCTGGCCACGCTCGGCTCGCGCACTGCATGCGAACCTCCGTGCCCGACAGCTTTGCTTCGCATGCAGTGTGTCACAGGCTTTACAGCCAGGGTGCCCACAATTTTTGTGTTAAGATCTACTTTTCAAATGACAAGCTACATGAGATCTACCAACGAAAAAAAAACCTCCCTCGCTCTCTCTCTCCTGGCTGTCTCTCCTTGCTCATCCTCCTGGCTGTCTCTCCTCTCTCCTGGCTGTCATTCCTCATTTTCTCTCCTGGCTGTCTCTCTTCGCTGTCTCTCCTTGCTCTCTCCCCTGGCTGTCTCTCCTCTCTCTCTTTCCTGACTGTCTCTCCTTGCACTCTCCCCTGGCTGTCTCTCCCCGCTCTCACTCCTGGCTCACCTTGCTGTATTTTGCAGCAGGCTGTGTAAACTAATATTCTTTGATGTAATACAAAGCAGCACTTCAACCACCAGTATCCACCAGAAAGGTGTCAGGGAGCTCGGCTCAGCAGTCTCGGGCTAATAGGTAATCATGTGTGCACAGCTAAATAAATATACCAAAATGGAATAAAGGGGACGCCATTTAAACGCTTCCTGATCTACCAGCATCAGCTTTGAGAGCTACTGCTAGATCACCATCTACCTAATGGGCACCCCTGCTTTACAGCATCACCACAATACAATGATCTTGTATCTCTCCATGCAAGTCTGTCTACTCAGGCTGATTGTATGCATGGATTCTGTGACGTATTCAGTCTTCTCAGCAGTTTTTCTGCAGGCATGACTCCTGCACTGCCTGATGTACAGTAAGCCACAAAAACATAATCTACCAGTGTGTAAATTAAATCATAGAAGTATGAAACAATTAGCCTAAAAACAAGGAAGCCCCATGAAAAAATGTATTTCAAGAAGAAATTTTAGCAATAGATAAATATAGTTAAGTATTTACTGAAAATTCCTGTCCATGATCATAACATACAGGCATACAATATATGGCTGAAGGTTTGTGGACACCACATCCGGTATGTAGACAAAAGTATGTGGACAACCCTCCCAACTATTGAGTTCACATGTTTCTATTGAAGGGTACTGTTAAAAAGGAGAACTATGAGGTGGGCGATTTTCACTCACCCTCATAGTTCGAGCCGACGTGTGACAATTAAACTGTCACACATCGGCTCTATAGAGCGGGAAGTGAGGGAACACATACCGTCGCTCGCTTACTTTCCGATCATCTCCCTGCAGAGAGCAATGACTGTCAGTCACGGCTCCCTGCAGGGATTCCCCATGCGGGAGGATGCTAGTTTGTGTCCTCCCAAGACCCTTAGGAGAACTATGGGGAAAAACACTGACCCCATAGTTCTCCTTTAACATGCCATGAAGACATTTTGGACAATTCTGCGCTTGCAACCTTGTGATAACAGTTTGATGAAGGTTCTTTTCTGTTCCAGCATGACTATCCCTGTGCACAAAGCCGGCTCCATAAAGCCATGGTTTGACCAGTTTTGTGTAGAGGAACTCAATTGGCCTGAACAGAGCCCTGACCTCAACACCTTTGGGGTGAACTGGAATGCAAATTGCACGTCAGGCCTCATGTCCAACATCATTACATGACCTCTCAAATGCTTCTTTTGCCTGAATGGGTAATGATCCCACAGACACACTCCAAAATCTGATGGAAAGCCTTCCCAGAGTGGAGGATGTTGTAGCCACAAACACAGTCCAACTACAAATGTATGCCAATGGTTTTTGAATGAGAAAGCCCAGCACGCTCATAGTTGTGATGGTCAGGTGTCTACCATTGTATGTAGGTACCTGGACTTGCGGCGGGCGAACTGTCTCTCTCCTCAAACTGTTGATCGGCCATTACATAACTCTGGTCATCATCTTCAAGTTTCACCTCGATTTTAGGCTTCACGGCGCGTCCTACAAAAAGTAGAAATTGCAGCTACACATTTAATTCCCAGCCTACAAAAGAAAATAATATAGCAGCTACTTAAAACACAAGCATGTCAGAGTACTATGTCCACAGAGCAGAATGTGTTCATGCACATTTACAGCCATTCCCTATTAATGGAGCCAACACTCTGATGTAGTATAGGAGGCAGAAACTGTGTCATCATTATCCTTCACAATGTGTTGAAAAACCGGAGAACCCATTTGTATATTAAATTTATTTATTTTTTGCCCCCCACCCCTCATCTAAACCAACGCACCCTTCTTTCTCACATATCCTTACTTACTGAAATCTGATGGGCAGAGTTCTGCTACTGCAGTGGTTCTCAACTCGTGGGTCGCGACCCAAAAGTGGGTCGCGACACCCTCTGCAGTGGGTCACGGCGTCATGTCTGAATAGACTGGCCTGAGACTGAATAGAGAGGGGGAATTTGTGGTTCAGCCTGCGGGAACCTCATAATGTCAAACTGTCCCCTCTCTCCCGGCCTTCCCCGGGCTCTCCGATAAAGTGAAGAGGTTACACGGGTTGAGAACCACTGTGCTACTGTTTACATCCAGCATCATAATGCTCCCTCTGCTGACCACATCTGCACATTACAGTTCCATAGACTTCTACTGGGCCGTCTCCCAGCCAGGAGATGGACGCGGCCAGTAAAGGGAGACTGCTCTGGATGTCAACCAACAGCAAAACAGCAGCCCTCGGATCTCCGTATGTATAGTCCTGTGAAGGGCAAGGGTGGGATCATTTAGGTCAGACGAGGGGACAAAAAGTACAGTGCACTTATTTTGCTAGTGTTTATATCCAACGTAATAATGCTCCCTGTGCTGACCGCACCTGCACATTACACTGCCACAGACGACTACGGGATCGGCTCCCAGCCTGCAGATGAACGAGGCCAGTAGAGGGATACTTGTAGCGATGGATGTCAACAAACAGCAGCCCTCGGATCTCTATAGCTACAGACCTGTGTAGGGCAAGGGTGGGATCATTTAGGTCAGACAGAAGGGGACACTACTTTAAACTGTAGGAGTCCTACCGCACTCCTTACTGGTATGTCCCTTGCGGTGGGTGCTCTAGTGATAGCGGATGGCGCCGCTTCAGATTCATGTAGTTAAGTATGTCACCATACTGTCACCAGTGGTTAAATCTTCGTCATGCCTAATGAAGGGACCCTGAGTGGCCCCGAAACGTTGCTATGTGACAAGATGTGTGTGCATCAATAAAATGATCACTTCTTGTAGGTTTAACCACGGTGTGCTGGTGACATACTTTACTACTATATAAAACTGATCTCAAAATCTCTATTAGCATCTATTAGCTCCACCTGCCTATATATTTGAGGGTGTCCGGAGTTCAGACTTCAAAGAATAAATGAGGCCCAAAAGAAAATTCCTTCCCCCCCCCCAATTACCGAAAAACAATATTACTAGCCCTCATTCACCCTAGAAAAGGCCGGCATGTACATCTCCGTGCACGGCTGTATCGGGCCGCTCCCGGGAGGGAGCCTGTCCTTCTCTATGGGAGTACACAGCTGTACGCCGCCGTACGCTCACCCGAACTGCCCGTCGTTACAGGTGTGGATGTCCCTGCTCGGACGCAGACAGGATCCATCCCGTCTGCATACGAGCCGGCCGGCCCTCTCTCGTGTGAATGAGGGCTTAGACTCGACAAGGTTTTGTTATCCATTTCTGAACATAAATGGGCAATATGCATGGACCGTTTGTCACCTGTTCTGGTTTTAGGACTTTGATCCTCTGATCCTTTGAACGTCTCATCATTCCTCGCGTAAGAGTCTTCATGATCGTCTTCAGTCTTGATCACAATTTCTGGTTTTGGATTAACAGAGCCTAAAATATGCAAATAAATAAGTATGTTAATAAAGCTGCACTCCTGGTCAATAGATAAATATATTGCTTGAAATACATATATGGGAGCTCTTTAATTCCAACAGGATTTTAATTTCTGTCCATGCTTTACATTTACACAACCAGACAACAGAGCCAGTCTGGTGACCTCACTAATGTCTACTGCAGTTAAAAGGAGAACTATGGGGTCAGTGCTTTTCCCCATAGTTCTCCTTAGGGTAACGGGAGGACACAAACTAGCGTCCTCCCGTCACCCTAAGCTCAGTATACCGCGAGCTACAGCTCCTGCTCGCGGTATACTGAGACGCTGAATCAGATCCCGACAATTATGCCGGGATCCGCCCGGCTGCGTGACTGACAGCTGGCTCTGCCTATCTAGAGGCAGAGCCAGCTGTACCCGCCCCCTCCGTTACGCCAGTCAGCGCTGGCGGATCGGAGCGGGGAATCCAGCCCCTCCTGTCACGGCAGAGAGAGGTGACAGAATCGAGAGGTGAGCGAACGGCGGTATGTGTTCGCTCACCTCCCGATCTACTGAGCCGACCTGTGACAGTCTCATTGTCACAGGTCGGCTAGAACTATGAGGTGAGTGAAAAGCATTCACCTCATAGTTCTCCTTTAAAGTGACACTAAACTCAGGAGCTAAAATCTTAAAAATACATTCAAGAACCTTAAACTATTACCAACAATGTATCTTATTCTTGTATCACTCGGCTGTAGATCCTCCAATCATCTCTGAATTGGTGCTGACACTGTCCTTCCTTCTGGAGGGTGACTACTTGTGTACCCCATGGTCCCCGTGTGTGTTGTAAAGTAGTCACCGCTCCAAGCTCACTCCCGGGATGGACTACAATCTTAATATAAATTAGTAAACTAAACCTGAGATTGTAGTCCATCATGAAAGTGAGCTTGGAGCCAAGCGAGACCAAAGATCAGGTGATTATATCTTTTTTATTTTAGACCCTAGACCAAACAAGCAGATAACCTTTCCAGTGCATGGGGTAGAGCACCACTGCAAGGATTCATTCTTATTCTGCCGGGAGATGTTCTGACTGACGCATAGAGCGTTTATAGTGAGTGACCGCAGCCAGTTGATGGCCTGCTCAAGCTGCTACATGTAAGATGCTGTGACTAACTTGTGTCATTCGTTCTCTTCTGCATCTGACACAATTCCAATCGTGTCGGTCCATCCACCAATGGCATACATCACTACCGTGTCCTGTAGTGAAATAGGTGCTGGTGGATAGAATGACAGAGCACCGTAGGGGGCCAGGCATACAAAACAAGTATACTGAAGATTCTTTAAATCACTGTAACCCTTCAAAAGAGTGAACTGCGGCACACGTAACTAACTTTCTTAGCAAAGAGGTAGGGCTGCAACCAACTAATCGATAATGAGAATAGTTGTCAACTATTCTCATTATCGATTAGTTGTTTGAATCCCCGAGCTCTCACCTCCATGCTGGGAGGAGGGTACAGCAAGTAGTGGGCGGGTGCAATAGTCAGCCTGCTATTGGCTATTGCAATTTGAAATGGCCAATAGCAGGCTGGCTATTGCACCAGCCCACTACCTGCTGTATTTACATTCAGCTGCCGTCTGTGAAATCGTGCCACTGGCAGCTCTCAGTTACTGGCTGAAACTATTCAAGCCCCATGTGCTTACAGTACAAAATCTAAAAAATAAAAAAAAAATTATAAAAAAAGGGAGGGAAATAAGTAATTTTTGGTTTCTGCTTCGGGAGGTACGTTGCATTGCCATTCATTTCAATGGCCCACCAAACGCGCCAACCACCCACAGTGTGAACGCCTGCACTGGAACTCACAGTACCGCAATACCATGTGTTCCAGTGCAGTGCAATTGCAAAGAATTATGCATGCAGTTTTATTCTGAAGTAAACTTTATTTGTAACACTGAATTAGAATATTTTATTTTAAATTAAGGATGGGATTTTTTTTTTTAAATCCGATTAATCGAACAAATTAAAATCGGCCAACTAATCGATGCAGCCCTACAGAGAGGCCTGTTTTACATACCACAGGAGTAGGAAATGTTTATTGTGCATAAGGAGATTAGATGCACTGTAAGATCCCATGAGAACAAAAATATACAGCAGTGCCTGACCACATGGCAGCATAACACGAGGATCTCGGAATAAAGTGCGCAGATATTACCAATGTCCTTTACAGGGGTGCGTTTCCTACGGTCAGACTTCCGTTTCCTTCGGGGACACGTTACTTCGCCCTCTTCAGCCTTGACATCCACTTCACGCTTTACACTGGCACCACCTTGAAAAGAAAAAGAGACAGGAAGTGTTTTTCAGCTAAAATCATCCAGTCATTTTAAAGAGATACCGTCACTTTACCTATTTATGGCAAAGTCACCTTGCTTGCCATTTACAGCACTCTCCCGGGCATATGTGCCTATTCAGAGCACCCTCCCAGGCATATATGCCCATTTAGAGCACCCTGCCAGACATTTGCGCCCATTTAGAGCACCCTCCCGGGCATATGCGCCCATTTAGAGCACCCTCCCGGGCATATGCGCCCATTTAGAGCACCCTCCCGGGCATATGAGCCCATTTAGAGCACCCTCCCGGGCATATGAGCCCATTTAGAGCACCCTCCCAGGCATATGCGCCCATATAGAGCACCCTCCCGGGTATATGGGCCCATTTAGAGCACCCTCCCAGGCATATGCGCCCATTTAGAGCACCCTCCCAGGCATATGTGCCCATTTACAGCACCCTCCCGGGCATATGCGCCCATTCAGAGCACCCTCCCGGGTATATGGGCCCATTCAGAGCACCCTCCCGGGTACATGGGCCCATTCAGAGCACCCTCCCAGGCATATGCGCCCATTCAGAGCACCCTCCCGGGTATATGGGCCCATTTAGAGCACCTTCCCGGGCATATGCGCCCATTTACAGCACCCTCCCGGGCATATGTGCCCATTTACAGCACCCTCCCAGGCATATGTGCCCATTTACAGCACCCTCCCAGGCATATGTGCCCATTTACAGCACCCTCCCAGGCATATCCACCCATTTACAGCACCCTCCCAGGCATATACGCCCATTTAGAGCACCCTCCCAGGCATATACGCCCATTTAGAGCACCCTCCCAGGCATATTCGCCCATTTAGAGCACCCTCCCAGGTATATTCGCCCATTTAGAGCACCCTCCCAGGTAT